TCGAGTGAAGTTATTGATATAAGGATGGGTTTCTTCTTTAGCGTTTGCCGGTTCATCATCACCAACTGTTTGATTTGGTTGTTCGGATTCTTGGCCATGCATCTGTTCAGGTAATGCTCTGATTTCTGCGGCTAAAGCTTCTTTTTTGTATTTGAATGTTAGTAGGATTTCATTTCTTTCTGTTCCTGTTTGTAGAATTAGGAAAGGCAGTACTTGTCAGAGAGAGAACCTCAAAGCTTCGTCAGTACATGATTCGAGGAGAGTGGAGCCATGTCCTGAAATCACTGACTCATCCATCGAGGAGAAAGAGTCACCGAGACTAAGCTTCAAGTTTCAGTATCAGTTCTCTGCTCATCACAAACTGCTCGACCAAGTGCCGCTGTCGCAACCTGTCGCCAAGGAAAATGAATCTTCTGTGAACACTGCCATGCACAACTATCGCTTCTTGCCTGAGAAAGATTTCAGCTGCTTCATGGCAGAACCAGAAGCCCAAACTTGCCGTATCCAAGAGTCATATGTTGATCCTGCCGTTTTGTCTTCCTACGATAGCAAAACTGCGAAAGCTGCTGATCATGATCTGATGCACACGATCGATAAGCTAGATGCAATCGGAGATGAGAAATTTCCATACGTTAAGTTCTTTGAGCAGGAAAAGCACATAAGACGGGCTGAGACTAATTTATCAGGTGAAATCGGAAGAACCGATCCAGCAAAGTTTCTGTCAGATGAATTTTTGGTCTCCGATTCGGATGCTGAATCCCTGAGTGCAAGTGATGGTTATTCCGTGAAGGGGCTCATCGCTGATTTGGATAGCGATGGTTTGTTGTCTGAGTATGAACATGAAGTAGATACTAGACAAGCTTCCATCGATGCCAGTAGATACAAAGTGAAGCTGTCGGAAGATTTCAGAAGATTGGAAGCAGCACAGTCGCGATTCGTTCATGATTATGATTCAGAATCTGCTGCCGTAATTGATCAATTTTCTTTTGTTGACAATCAAAGAAGATACACACACATCCGCCGCGATGAGAACTTGCCAGAAAATGAATCAGACAGCTCTGATCCTGAGCGAAAAGGACTGGATCAAGGAGAAGCTGAGTCAAATCAAGTTCAGGAGTTTGAGGAACCTAAACAGCCAACTGCAGGTGTCTCACGAATGGAAAACATTGATTCCAGTGATGATGAGCTTCATGCAACCAAAAGGCATAGCAGTTTAAGAAAGTCCTCAAATGAGTTGGTCACACCAGACAGCAGACAAGAGAATTTGGATGACAAGGAAACAGGAAATGATGCAGATATTGATAGTACAAATAGCAGTAGTAGTAATTTAAACAGAGATTTGGAGTTTACAAGAGAGTTTAATGTTACTCGTGATGAATTTTCCGAACGATCTCCTGGCACAGAACAAGAGGATAGTCAGCTCATGGCAGAATTGGATGAACTGGCACGAGAAGAAGAGCTCGAAAGAGGCAAGAAAGAAGCAAAGGAGAGCAAGGTTGTGCAACAAACATATCTAGAAGATTCAGATGATGATGATGATGAGTTGGAGTCCCTCTGGGAACATCAGGATCTAATAGAAAAGCTCAAACTGGAACTGAAAAGAGTGAGGGCCATCGGCCTGCCGACCATTTCAGAGTTATCAGAAGGCCCCAAAGCAGTCGATGACCTGAAACCATGGAAGATCGACAGCAAGTTTCTGCATGAGGATCCCATGGATGAGCTACAAAAGTTCTACAAGTGTTACAGAGAGAGGGTGAGGAAGCTTGACATCTTAAACCACCAAAAGGTGCATGCAATAGGTTAGTCCAATGTCTCCTTTTCTCAACAGTGTGCTATCCATTTGCTCAATACAGATATGATGCCAGAATATTATTATGGTTTAAGGACGTCTATACCTCCAAAACTGCTTACTTTTGGCATCAAATGTCTTACTGTCATACTCATTTTCCTAATTATCTGTCAATTTGATACTAAAGCACCAGTACTGTTGATGAATTCCAGGCTTACTCCAGCTAAAGGACCCTCATCAGTCAACGGGATCTCAGAAATCCCTACTTCCAACGATCACATCCGTTCTTTCTCAGAGTTTGTGGACTTGCAGCCGCGAATCTGGTATTAGTCCATCAGACAAGTTCATCAAGGAGCTACAAAATGATTTGGAAATGGTTTATGTTGGGCAAACATGCCTTTCATGGGAGTTCTTGCGTTGGCAGTTTGAGAAAGCTCGGCAGATATCAGATTCTGATCCATACCGGAGCCATCAGTACAATCAAGCGGCTGGAGAATTCCAACAATTTCAGGTGATCATGCAAAGATTTATCGAGGATGAAGCTTTCCAAGGGCCAAGATTACCCAATTATATCAAAACTCGAAGTGCTTTTCAGAATTTTCTCCTAGTGCCTGTCATAAGAGGTAAGGCAAGATCCAGACATCTCTCTGTTATCCTCAAACACTAATCTCCTTAATGATAGTTCAACTTCTCTTTCTTTTCGGTTGCATTACTTGTCAAGTATAACATGTCTGTACAATGATTATGTTGTATCGCTTCCGAAGATGAAGAAAAGCCGGCACACTTAACTGAATCAAAGCTCTTTTCTTTGAGAACTTAAAGTGAATCATTCTTAGTTTCATCAATTGAATTTGCTTGTGATAGATAAACCTCGAAATTTAGATCTACTAGCTTTACAACAAAAGAATGCATCTTTTTTGTTACAGAGGATAGCTTGAAGGAGAAGTTGGAGGATCAACGCAAAGGTAACTATGTCATTACCAGTGAAATTCTCGAAGACATCATGGAGGAGTCCATAAGGCTTTTCTGGGAATTTGTCAAGGCAGACAAGGATGAAACGCCGGGGATTCTGAAAGGTTTAATGGGAACTCATGTTCAACCTCATGATCCTTCTGACTCCAAGTTCATGGCAGACATCCATTCCAAATTGCACAAGGTAGATTATAATCTTCATTTTATTTAATTATTGTAAGAAGAAACAACGAAGCCGCCTTCGTTCTTAAGCAGCTAATTGCATAAATTTTACTAACCTTGTCATTAGCTAATAGGCCATGAATTAGTGCTTTGTTGTTGAGGTGATGAAAACTCTCCTTTCCTTTCCAATAAGAGTGAAATGTTCCTAAACTCTGTCTCCAACCAAAATGAGAAGCTTATGTTAAGGCTCCATAAGCCAGCTATTCTTACCTGAACAAAGATCATGCAACAAAGAGTAGATATAAGACTGAAGCATCCATTTGATCTAATCACTGACACTGCTATGTTTTCTTGCTGTTCAGAAAGAAAGGAAACTAAAAGACATTTTGCGAACCGGAAATTGCCTAGTCAAGAAGTTCAAAAAACCCAAAGAAGACAGATCAAACCAGGATATCTTCTTCTCTCAAGTAGACCTGAAGCTGGTGGCACGAGTCCTCCGAATGTCTAGAATTACAACAGATCAGCTGGTGTGGTGCCATGCCAAACTGAGCAACATCAGTTTCATAGAAGGAAGAGTTCACAGGGAGCCTTCATTTTTGCTCTTCCCTTGCTGACTGAGATCCACATTTTCTGGTCCAACTATATGTAGGAGAATTAGTCTTGTTTATACATCTTCTTTTTCCTACAAGTTTATGGGTACACGTTTGATCTCTCAGCAGAATTTTCAACAGCCTCGAGTAGCTGTGTTGAGTTGTTTGATTCTGATCATGTAATTGTAATGGTGTTGAGATACAGATAAATACATGTGATCATTTTTAGGGAAGGAAATGAGTAGACAAATATTATCTGTGATTTATCTTAATGGGGTTATTAATGACTTTGCAATTAAGCCAGCTCATACTCTAAAATGCTTTAATCATCAAAAGAAAGGAAAACAAGCAAAAAAAAATAAAAGAAGACATTAACACACAGGATGATTCAATGTATCTTGTAATAATATGATTCATTTCTATTTTAACAACAGAATAACAAAATAATCAAATGAATAATGAGAGTCTAGAAATCCATGATTTACACCTTGTCAAGAAATTCATTGGGACCAAACGGACTAATATTTTTCTTATAAAAAATAGATATCTTGACCCTGAAAATAAACATGAATGAGGTGAAGAACTTTTGTATCGTATTTATTTCTGAATAAGGATTGAAATATGCCTATCCTCAAATTATTTATTTCACCCTTATATTGTCAATAAAATTTTTGAGATCCATATTCGCTTATACTCCTATGATGACTTATAAATTTGGACTTTCGAAGATGAAAATCTTTTTTAGAAACTAATTTGGCATAGGCTATTCATCTCAAGTTGGATGATTAGATTTTATAGTATATAAATTTCTACATGTCATGTTTACAAATTATACTCAGACTCTCCTTCTCATATATTTTTTCATTATTTTTTTATTTTCTTATTTTTATTTCATCAAAATTTAACTATTATTTTCATATTTTTTTGATTGGATTAGTAGTGCAGTGATAACTCTTTAGCTAAGTGTCTTAGCAATTTTATTACAAATTCTTCAACTAATAACATGCCTCAATAACTTTTCTTCTATTTCATGGATCATTAAAAATACATCGTGTAATATCATAAAACTTACTAAATCATTAAATGTGATTAAATCACTCACTTGTGTAGAGTTGAGAATGAGAATGTTTGTTTTTTAATCATTGTGCTAGTTGTAATAAATTTTTTTATTTATTAAAAATATCAATTCATTATATTTTTATATTAATAAAAAAATTCGAATTAATTACATATTATTTCTTGTAATTAGCTATCTTTAATATCTCGATTGTTATTCTCTCAAAAATTATATTGAGATAGTATAAGAAAATAAAATATTTAATCTCATTATTCTAATAATTTTTTTAATTTTTAATTTTATAAAATTATTATTTTAATCTTTATAAGATCTCAATGATTGACAGGATAATTAGTTTCTAACTGCTGTTCGTTAGACTATAGAAGAAACCAAAGCCGTCAGATCAAATCGACGTGGTCCGTTGGATCTAGGTCGTCTTATTTGCTGTCTGTGACATCGGTCGGGTTCGAGGGCGGAAGAAGAGCCAGGGAGGAGAGAGGAGGGTGGAGGAAGAGGTGGGAAGACGAGATGGTGCAAAGATTGACGTACCGGAAGAGGCATAGCTATGCCACCAAATCGAATCAGACGAGGGTCGTCAAAACCCCAGGTAAAGATCTTATCTTGCCATCCTTTTCATGTGCTCTAGGGTTTATCAGACCCTTTACGGCTTCAAATTCTCCACAGATCGATGCGAGTTCTGCTTGCTTTCTGTTTTGCAATCTGTTTGGTTGTGCATTTCCTTTCTTCCGTCGTCGACTTCTTTTATTGGATTGATCTTTCCAATGATGATCTTAATCTTGGAAGCGCAGGTGGGAGGCTTGTGTATCAATACGCGAACAAGAGGGCGAACGGGCCGAAATGCCCTGTGACCGGCAAGAGGATCCAAGGAGTATGCTTTTCCTTGCTTTAAAATTTCATGAAGATCCGTCACTTGGAATTTGGGCGATTATCACTTTTTCGTTTAATTTTTGAGACATTCTTTCTTCTCTGAGTGATAGCATCACTGGGCTTAGGGTTTCAGTTGGAAAATTGTCATTAAGAATGTCCTCATCTTGCACTTGCTTACAGTTTGCTTGTTTTATTAAACAATTATTTCTTATTAAAATATAAATGCTTTACTTTTATGCTATACCCTTCCCTGTTTGGTGATGAAAAAAATCTTTTTTTTTTATAATTATGACGACTCAGGAAGGGAAAAATAGAAGAATAAATACAATGCTTTTTTTCTTTACTGTTTAATGCCAGAAGGGCTATAAGATGGAAGGCAAAGAAAGGGGTTCTGTTAACACATTTCTTCACATCAACTATTACTGTTGACATCTGGATAATTATAGGTTTTAACAATTTTTATTCTAGAATGGTTAAGAAAAGACTTTTATGTTAATCTGCCAATTGTATTATGATGTGACTGAGTCAGATCTTGCTATGCAAAATGTTCTTTGGTTTTAGCATTTAGTTAGTCTTGATCGTGGGTAATGAAATCAATGTCTTAACCTTTTTATATTCATCAGGCCATGACTTAAGAATTTTGATATGATATCCCTTGCTTAGGAATTTTAGTATGCATTTTCTTTTCAGTGTTCCGATTGGATTAAATATTTGCACATGATGTCATGTTATTCACCAGTTTCATCTTAGGAATCTAATTTCTGTTTATTGAGTTTTTTATTCCTCTTTAGACATTGATTTTTTTATTACCACAATTTATTTTTCTTCTATGACAATTGGTGCCATGTATATTGGTTCAGAATAATTATTTGGTTTTCTTTTTTTTGGGTTCCCTTTTCATCATATGAAGTTTTTGCCACCAAAACCATTCGACTTGCCTAATTTCCTATGTTTTTTTTTTTTGGGTGAAACACAATGCAATTTACGCTAGATGGTGATTCGTAGCAATAATGTAGGGCTTATATGTCTCTTAGAAACATTTACCTTTAATCTTCGGTTGCCTTAGTTGATAGATTTATGATTCTTAAACATGGTAGAAAATGATTGCAGAGTCTAGGGTCTTATTTTGCATCAGCTATCAGATAAAATCTTGAATTTATTTGCATCAGTTACCAGATGATAGCTTGAGCATGACAGAATTTGAATAAACAACATTAGCTTTTAGTTGCTGATTTTCATATGATGGTTATCATTTAGTCATTATCTGTCACAACTCCCAAATTAACACATTCAAGAAGCACGATCCTATCTTATATCAAGAATATTATAATTCATCAATAATCTAATTCAGGATCCAAATAAACATTTGAGGACACTAAAAGCATTCAAACATTATCCACATCTATAAAACCTGTGCAGTTTATAATCATGCACCACATCACTCAATAATTCAGAAAACCTAAAGCCAATTTAACAAAACATTAACAACACTTATAAATCCACCAGTATGAAAATATATACAATCGTAAAATCAATCGTTTACTACAAGTTTATATTATCGTAAACTAAACTTAACATTCTAAAATTCTAAACACGAGGAGTCTTTTAAAACTTTTACACGATACATCAATTTTAATTTGTTGACAATATTTCATTACACACAAAATGCACTTATACAACAGCAACATATCAACCAATAAAGTTTTTGCCTAAAATCTTCTAGCTTTCTACTGCCTTAGCCCAATCCTAACATTTCAGTGAGTAATAAGCTAGCCCGAAAATTTTATATAGCAATAGGATGAGCAACAAAGCTTAGCAAGTGACTAACGTATTTATGGTGAGAGAGGATAGTTTGAAACAAATTTGGTATCAAAATGCAAGGCAGGGATACAAGAATTTATAAATATCATCTTATTAGATATAGAATCGCAAATATCATTTCATTCGAAACATGCTTTATTCATAACAATGGAGTAAATAGTTGGAGCATATCAAAGGTGTAAGAAATATTTCAAAGCATATCAATAGCGTATAAAATATTTCGGAGTATATTAAAAGAACAAATAAGAAACATAAGCTCAAATGTCATATTTGACATTTCATCCATTTCATTCTTATCCAAAGCACACATAAAAACTCATAAGCAATACTTTGGATATCATATCAAAAATACAGAGGGTGAAGTGGGATCATAACATAATATGATCCATCCAGAAATCTGGATGACCACTAAACATAAGTCTTCCATGTTTGTGAGCTCAATCTAATCACATTTGAATGAAGTCAAAAGGGGCTGGCAGAGCATCGTGGGCTTTAAACATAACTTCCTTTTTTATTTATGGAAAAGGTTCATATTATCCCACACATACCGGAGTACGAAAGTACATTATGAGCAATAAAATTGACACATATCGGAAGCACATGAGAAACAATAAAAATATACATATGCTTATATGAAACAATACGATGCAAACATAAACTTCTGCATAATGCATTAAGATACAATAGGAATCAATGATAAAGGCTACAAGGGTTTAAAACAATCACACAAGGCTCAATTGAGGGAAGAATTCTAAATGAATTCAATATTAAAGAGATAAAACAAGAATAGACAAAATTGGTAAAAGTTTTGTTCTAGCAGAATCTATAAGACACATTGTACAAATTCTTTGAACAATCAATTATGCTCCAATTTACTCAAGAAAGGTGTCATTTAAAAGCTATATAAGTCTACTTTCAAATGAATTAAGTTTTGTAAAACTTGAGTTTCCAATATGGAGTTACAAGCAATTTAGTATAGAAAGGTCAGAAATTATCTTCCCTGTTTAGCAAAATCTATAGAGTTAATTGAAACAGATGTTTCGACAGGCATTTTCCCTAATAGAAAGCTATAAGCAAATTGGTAACGAAAGGTCAGAAATTTCAATCTCTATTTTACCAAATTTATGGGGTCGATTCAATTAGATGTTTGCGTAGGCAGATTTACCCCAAATCCTTCAAGTAAGCTATCGAAAGAAAGATTTGTGAGTCTTCATTCAGATAAAACTAGTCTTGTCCAAATTGAAAGTCGGTGTAGAAAGTTATAACTAAAACAAGGCAAAAAGGTCAGAATCTCAAAAATTTTTAGGTTCACAGTTTCATATCTAAACGAGATGGGTATCACGTGCAAGGCCATAATCTTTCAAATTATCCATAATCAAGATGAAAGCAGAGATTAAAATCACTATAGGAAAGAGTTAGGACACTTGCCTTGGAAGATTTGGATCCCAAACAAAAAATTAAGCCAAAACCCTACGCCCAAATCCTTCCCCTTCTTCTTCTTCTTCTTCTCCCTTTCTTCCTCTCTTCTCCACCGAGAGCTGCTGCCTCTAATTCCTTCAGCATGAAGGCACGAGGCAAGAGGCGGTGGAAGAAACCCTTTATATTTTTATTTTTGTATATTTTACAGTTTAGTCTTTGTAATTATTTATATTCATAAATTGATCCTCAGATTTTACAAATAGGTTCTCATCTTTACAATTAGGTCCTTGTAAACAATTCAAAACAGGTACTTACATTACAAACAGGTTCTTATATTAAAAAATTTTTTAGAAACAAGGGATGTTACATTATCAACTAGTTGTGCTATTTAAGCGAACCATGATTTGTGGTGACTATATTGTGCATAATATTGTGAATTTTCTTGAATAGTGAACTTGCAAACTATTGTATTGGGTGTTAACGTGGCAATAACCCAGAGATATTAACAATAATATTTCCTTGTTATTTATTATTATTTGTTTTTTTTGGGTACTAACAGATACCTCATCTAAGACCTGCTCAGTACAAGAGATCCAGGTTGTCCAGAAACCGGAGGACTGTGAACCGCGCTTATGGTGGTGTGTTATCTGGTAGTGCTGTTAGAGAAAGGTTAGCGGTAGTTGATTCTTAGCTATGGGTTTTATTATTCTCGACTTTTTTGATATTACATGTTACTTGATCTACTCTGTTGGTTTTGTAGGATTATTCGTGCATTTCTAGTTGAAGAGCAGAAGATTGTGAAGAAGGTTCTGAAGATCCAAAAGGCTAAAGAAAAACAAGCTTCAAAGAGCTAGACAAGGCTGAGGATAACATGAATGCTTTGGGTTATATTTGCCCAGGAGAAATTTTTGACATGATAATGGTTATGGTGGAAGCTTGGTTATATTACTGGATTTCAGGGGCTGATCTTATGTTTCTGTGGATTTGTTTAGCACAAGTTCTTGGGACATCAAACCCCTCTTTTTGTCCATGATTATTTGCTGTGCTTGAGCCATATTTGCATACTTGTATTACTCAGCAATATTGTGTGAGAAATCAAATGTCTTGCTTTGTTAAAATGGTGGCTGAAAGCCCATCGTTTTTGTCCCCCAACAATTTGTTGTGAGGGTTTGCACCAACCGTTCATCTATTGCATGTGTTGGATCACTAAACCATCAGTTGTTCTTACTGACTTCCCAACTCATGACGATAAAGGAGGAAGTATGAGCAAGATCTGAGTCGTCATCAAATTGTTGAATAAAAAATCTCGCCAGCAATACAAGATAGGAAAGAAATTGTTTTTTGCTTATAAAATATTTAACGATCTGGAAAATTATCCAATCAACTATAAGTTAATTGAACATGCAAGCATTAAGTTTTATTGTATGATATATAT